AGCGTCGTGTGGATTGCAACATTTTTTTATGTGGCGGCGCCAACAACACGGCAAGTTTGAATTCAAATTGGTCAAGCCTCCCTGTTGAAGGGCATCTCACAAAGATGCATCCTGGGCAGCAGGGCATAGTAGACAACCAGCAAGGAAATGGAACGACCAGTTTGATAAGGGTGTCCCAAAAATTTGCGCTCTTTGTTGACCAGGGCCTGCAAGAAACTTCATAGGCCTCAGGGGCACGATAGGGTAAGTCGGATGTCGGAGGGACATGCTGCAAATAAATGGATTTCGGAGGGGTATTTAGAAAAATTTCCCTTTTGTTTAACAAAGCACACACAACAGCCCCTCCAAACAGGCAAGTTCTAACAAGGTATAGGTTGCGCATGAACCAGCTCAGCACGGTGCACTCTCTCAAGAGTCAAACGAGAGAGAGAGAGAGAGAAAGAGAGAGAGAGAGAGAGAGAGAGAGAGAGAGAGAGCATCCTTTCCCCTCCACCTCCTCCCTCCCTTGCCCCCGACTCTCCATCTTTTGACATCCTGTCGCAATATCCATCTTGACCTGCTTTTCCCATCTCTATTCCCTATGTCGACCAAGTAGGGTTCTGTGGGGCATTGTCCGACGGGAAATAAGTCGGGGGATGACGTACGTGGATGACCTGTACCGGTTATATGAGCCGACGGAAGTAGGAACAGGCTGGTAAAAGAGCCAAGGAAAGCAGGGAATGAGGTAGAAAGGGAAAAGGGAGCCTCAAGCTAAGGACCGAGGAATTGCTCGGGTAAGGGTCGGGGAATGGATGGAATAAGCAAACTCGCTTGCTGTTGAAACTGTGCAGGGGACCGCTAATCAATAATGGTGATGAGACGCGTCCGGATGTTGCGACGGTCTACGCACCCGCGGCCACCTATGGAAAATGGAGGCGGATCGGAGGTATCGCTCCCAGCAAGCTACATGGTCCGAGGACTGGATACCGAATGGAGGGCCGTGACCTTGGGAAGGGATCAGGCGTTCATGATGGTGGAATGTTTGTTGGATGGTATGAGGATTAATAGGGGACTGGGGGACGATCTGTACACTGACCTTAGGGTGACGGGGACCATATACCTGCCAGAACTTGGGTGGTACATGTTGGGAATGGAGCTGGCACTGGGACACGGGTTGTTACCGGTCTTCCAGAGAGCTACTAGGACACTCAACTGGGTAGGTCAGGAAGTGCGGGGGAGAAGGAACGTGGGGTTGAGAACCCGGGTGGAGGTATGAGGTTGGCAAGATATTAAAGCCCCAATGACAGGGCTGAGGTGCCGAGTTCCCCGTTTCATGGTAGACCTGGTGTTCGGTAGCCTCAAGAGAGCAAGGGACCTGGTGGATTCGACCCTAGTCTGGATCCACCACTTCCGGCCACAAACGACGGGAATGTTTTACGATGTATCGGTTAAGCATGGACCGTTCTAGGAAAATCAGGCCTGAGAATTGCTTGACCTCATTGAAATCTTGATATTCGATTTGCCTCGCTTAGCATTTGAGGAATATGAAGCGATAATTGTCAGGGAACTAGAGATGGGGGAAAACTATCTTGCTGGGGTGGCCGACCTGTTCGAAGAACCGGATTAGCAAGGCAGCCCTGAGGGACCGGCATGGGAAAACGCGTCAGAAAAAGATAGGGAAGTAAAGGATGAGTGCAAAAATAAGAAGGCAACCATCAGCAAAAAGGGGGGGGGCAGTGGTTGGAGTTCCGTCCGACCCGATAATGCGGCTGGGAGGAACTAGGAAGACCTCCCGCACCGGAAACTCTAGGGCATTTGGGGTCGGGAACCCAAAAGGGCCATCCTCGATAAGGAAGCCATTGGGCTCAGACAACGCCCTAATTGCCAAAGCGCGACAGTAATAAAATGCCAAGCAGCGGCGGCGAGTCCCCCGGCGGAAGAAAACCTGAAGGACGCCCTGGGAAAGAAAAGTCAGGAGAGTCAGAGCGATTAATGTAAGACGCAAAAAAACATGGGAATAGGCGGGTTTTAGGGTCGAGGCTAGGACAGTTATGAACAACAGGCCATTTTTCGCAAAAAAAAAAATTTCATGTGCAGGCTAGGTAAAGGAATGGCAACGGAAGAAGGGATCGATAACCAGCAGAGCGGAGGGAATCAGGGCACGAATGATGATGGAGAACGAAACGAGGGATCAGCGAGGGATCGAGAGTCACCCAAACTGGAAGGAACCCGAGAAGACGGGAAGGACCTCTCAACTAGAGAAAGCTCGGGGAAAGTTGGGGTTAGCAAAAGGGAACCTTAGGAAAACAGGGAAGGGGGAAACGATATGAGAACAAGCCCTCGGAACTCAGCAGAAACCACCCCTAAAAAGACGAAAGTCTCGGAAGCCCGTCGTAAACTGGCAGAGATAGAAAAGCGGACTGCAGAATTTAAGGCAAGGCTTATCGAGCAGATGATGGTCGGGGATGAGGAGGGCCCCCAAGGCGTAGGGTCACGTGAGGGACGCAGGACCGGTCAGGACGAGGCCAGGTATGGAGGGAAGGACAATAGTCACAAGGGAACGCCTAACAAGAAGGGGAAGGACAAGGACGACCCCCCGGTGGAAGGGACGAAAAACGCTATGACCCCACCCGCCATTGACAGCGGCATGAGCCGGCTGCCCGCCACGCCGAAAGTAACAGGGGCGTGCGACGGACTATGAAGCCTTAAGGAAAGGGTGCTAGGATAGTTTGACCCAGAAGGAATGCCGAAAACCAAGGAGAAGCAGAGGGAAAGCAAGGAAGGGGAAGGGACTAGTGCGGCTGGAGAAGCGGGTAACTCCGAAGGTGGTCTTAAGAGAATAGTCGCCACCCTCACCCGGACACTAAACAAGAACTAGGGGTATCTCGCAGATGCAAAGAAGAAACCCACGTTCGATGGGGCAAACATTACGGAGTTCCGAATAGACTATGAGAACCTAGCAGCCTTACTGAAATGGACGGAAGAGGAAAAGACGGATCACCTAGGTCAGCATGTGTCGCTAAGCTTGGGAAGCAACATTATGGCCATCGTCGCTTTCAGTGGATCCTAGAAAGAAACTAGGAACGAGATGAGGAGGAAATACCTGAAGGCAGAGAAAATGGCAACATAGGCCAAAGTAGCAGCAGTCCAGAGGAAAAACTATGCGACTTACAACGATTTTCTAAGGGCGTTTACGTTAGTGGCTCTGCGAATTCCCGCGGTAACGGACCACATAATGAGTAAATACTTTCTCAGGCAGTTCTCCGAGTTTGATGAAGATAAGATTTTGTCAGCATACCAGCAGACCAGCAAGTTCGAGTACACGAGGGATGTGGATTTCAGCACCGTAACCGACCTTGCGGAAAAGACAATGGTCACCGAGACGCTAGCCCTGCTTAAGGAAGGGGAGGTCATAGACCTGACCAGGAAAACAAGAGATAAGGTCAAGAAAGGGATAGAAAGCTTGCATGAGCGGGTGCATGAGGTTGACAATAAGATAGAAAGAGTGAAAAACGCGCTATTAGTGATGCAGGCGCAGGTGTCCCGACCCGCCCTCCCGCCCCAAGAAGTCGTAAAACCGACAGTCGTAGCCAATCAAGGTTTCCCCGGAAGAGACCCGGCCAATGAACAACGCAGATATTGTACAATGGTCGGGTATTTCGTGAGGACCTGTCCGAGACTTAACCACGACATCATTAGACAGAGGTGCAGTAGGTCCCTCAAAGGTGAGATTCTCGGACCTCAGGGAGAGCGCGTAAACTGAAATTCGTCAGGAGGAATGCGACGTGCCGTCATCCTCCTGAATAACTTGGATATAACTGTCGTAGAAGCAGAGTCGGTAGCTGAACTTGTCTGGGACCAACCAAGGGGGCGCGGGCCCCATGTCAACTTCATCCAGGAAGGTAATGGGCAGAATATGGTAAATATTACTACCCGACGGGCTGGCGCGGAAAAGAAGCTCATCCGAGACACAGTAATGGAAGAAGCCGCAGAGGCTAGAGCAGATTAGGAGGAAGTTGAGGCCGGGGAATAAGAGAAGGTTTATGAAAAAATGAGGGAAGAGGAACTGACAGATAAAGTCACGGTTACAAAGAATAAGTTCAGGTACCAGATCCCGATTCTGACGCTGTCCAAATTAGATGACACTCTGAGCAAATTCCTGGGCACCATGGTGTCGGTATCCTTCCAGACCATACTGCAGGCAAGCCCGAGACTGCTCAAGGGCCGCAGGCAGCTATTGACGCGTTAACGTGTAGAAGTAGAGGATGCTCCAGAACCACAGGAACAAGGATCCGAGGAGGCTGAGGCACCGCAAGGAGTCTCTAACCTCGAAAGGATTCCAGGGGTCCTGAAAGATTTGGAAAAAGCCTTTGCTGATATTCGTCTGAATCTGCCGGACCGAGAAGGTGGCAAAGTCATGAGAGCACCGCCAAGCACTAAACTTAGCTTCCACGCACTGCCTGTAAGAAAACTTAAAGTACAGGTCGGAACTCACCACACCGATGCATTAGTGGATGGCGACGCGGAAATAACCCTCATACGACGGGATTTCGCAACAATCATGGGGTGCACAGTGAACAAGGAGGTAGCAGGGAGTATCAGGGGAGCGGGCGGAGAAATTCCCTTCACTGGGTATGTCACCAGATGCGCGGTCAGGGCAGGAATTCGAGAATCCATCTGGTCTTTCCAACAGATGACCGTCATGGAAGAAATGGACCATGACATAATCCTTGGGAGACCATGGTGCGCCAATGTAGAAATGATTGGCATGCACCTGCATGATGGTACGTATATGGTAGACATAGAGGATCCGGTGACTGGTCACGGAGAACTCCTCCGATTCCTCGGAAATGGAGGGGACCCTCCCGAGGGTAAGCTTGCAACCTGGTTGCCAACGTTTGAAGAAAGTGCATGGAAAAGCGCATTCGCACGTATGAAAGGCATGAGGGAAATGACAGAAATTATGATTGAGGAAGTGTTTAGCAAAAAGGATGGATCAAAATGGGTCTGCCTCTAAAGAAAAGGAGACAGGAGGACGAGGTCCTAGGAGTCATGCTCGCAGAAAAGGAGTCAAAGATTGAACTTGGGGCCAGCCTGCGCAAGCCAAAGGAGGGACAGAAGGAAACGACATAAGAAGTACTCGAAATCCCTGACTTGCTGCAGCTCATCAAAGCTATTAGATACCAGAAAGTTGGGGTAGATCCGACAACACTTGCAAAATTTGAAGAAGAAATCCAGAAAGGCTACTGCCTCAATGGGAAGGTTGTCAGTCTTCAACCCCGTGCCATGGAGGTGGCAAGGCCAATCCCGACCGTTAATTTTTTAGAAGAACAAGTCGGTCTCGATCCTAGTAGAAACATCAAGGGAAGAGGCCATGGAAAAAGAAGAAGAGATCCTACGGGCTATAAGGGAGAGGCGGGCAACATGAGGGAATCGCATACCAGATGAGGTAGCAGATACCATGAAAATAGAAGTGGAAAGGTTTCTAACAGTGGAGGAAACTCAGTTGATAAGGAAGGCGTGTCAGAAGTTCCATTTAGCTTTCGCTTTCAATGATCACCAGAAAGGGGGGTTGGACGCGAAGCTAATTCCTCCGGTTAGGATCCACACGGTAGAGCATGAATGCTGAAATGATAAAGGGTCTGCCTACGAGTTTGGGATAGTAGCGGAAGTCACTGACCTACTTAGGGCCAAGATAGATTCGTTCGTGGCTGAGCCCACCGCATCCCCTTATGCGAACAAATGGTTCATTTTTCGGAAGCCCAACAAGACGCTCAGGTGGATTCAGGACTTGCAGAAGCTCAATGTGGTAACAATTAGGGATGCAGGTTCGCTCCCACAGCCGGACTTGCTTGCCGAATCTCACGCCGGGCGGAGCATTTACTCCTTGATAGACCTATACTCAGGATACGACCAACTGCTACTGGATGCGAGGGATAAACCGTATACCGCAATGCACACCCCCGTAGGGCAGTTGCAGATGCAAGTGAACCCTATGGGCTTCACAAATGCGGTAGCAGAGCCGCAAAGGAGGATGCTCGCTGTTGCAGGGGATATGTTTCTGAAAAAGTGTGAACCTTGTATAGTTGATAATCTCGTAAAAGGCGCAAGGTACAAGGACGAGGCGGAGGTCCAACCGGGCGTACGGAAGTTTGTTTCGGACCACTTGCAGGATATTAAGGACTTACTCCAGCGATTCCTAGTTTACAATATTACTGCAAGCGGACCCAAGAGCATCCTGGCCGTCCCAGAAGTAACCATACTGGGGTTTCGTTGTGGGGCCTATGGAAGGAAACTTGACCCAACAAAGACGGATAAGATTTTTCAATGGCCAACACCCCTGCGCACCACAACGGAAGTACGAGCCTTCCTAGGAGTGGTCAGATTCTGAAGAATCTTCATCAAAGGATTTGCAAAGATAGCTGAGCCTATCCGCGTAATGATCAGGGAAGGGGGTACTATGGAATGGACTGAGGATAGGGAAGCGGCAGCCCAGAACCCTCAAAGATATCCTGTCTTCCGATCAGGTTACTTTAGCGGCACCCTGCTTCAATGACGAAGTAGGACGTCCCTTCATCTTAGAAACAGATGGCGGACCAATGGCAGTAGGAGGAGTATTGATACAGAAAAACGAGGGGGTCAAGGAAAGAGCAATCGGATTTGAAAGTAGGACCTTGAATTCAGCAGAACAGCGGTACTCTAGTTCAAGAAGGATCTTAGTGATCCTGCATTGCCTTAAGACCTTCCAGGCATACCTGTTTGGATGACGATTTATCCTAAGGATCGATCCCACCAACGTCGTCGGGGCTCTAAAGAATTACAAGCCTATAGATCCGACTGTCGGCAGATGGATAGGCTTCATATGGCAATTCGACTATAAGGTCGAGCGAATTGCGGGGCTTTGAAACAGGGCAGATGGGTTGAGCAGGTTATGTATCACGCCAGAGGGAGTAGAGGACGCGGAACCAATTGACACCTTCCTAGAATACGAAAGGGGGGTTCTTGTTGTGGATAACGAAATGCTCGACTCAACGCTTACAACATGTCAGTTACTAATTCAGACCTTGGAAAAGGGCGCGCCTGCAGTAGTTGCAGAACTCAGGGAAGGACCAGTCACCACGGTCAGGCGCAAAGAGGAAAAGGACTCGTGGGGAGCAGAAGTAGGGGCCAAAGAGGAACTGATGGCAATGGTCGTGGAAGGGGGACGGGACGCCGTGATGACGTTGGCCGAGACCTGGGCGCAGAAGGAGTGTAAGTACCTACTCAACCAGACCCGAAATGAGCAGGATACGGATCAGAAGGAACAAGAGTTCTTCCTCATACAGATGTATGAGGGCGTCTTTAGAGAAATCGGTCTGCTGCTTGTAGGGAACAAACAACCCGCGGAAGTCAGCTCCAAGGCAAGGGAGGAAGCTGAGGAGTACGTCTTAAGAAATGGTCACCTGTTCAAGAAAGAGGAAGGGATGATGCCTAGGCGTGTGGTTTGTGGGGGAACTAGGCAGCTGGACGTAATTCAGGCAATGCATGATGGGCTAGCTGGAGGTCACCGGTCGTAAAAGGGGACACTGGCAAAGATCGTGCCCTTGTATTTCCGGCCAGGAATGGCAGGCATGGTCGCAACGTACTGTCAGACGTGTCTGATATGTCAAGAGAGGAGCTCCCAACGGGTTTACGAACCCCTTAGATCCACTCGGGTACTGGAACCCGGGAACCTTGTTCACCTCGATCTTGCGGTTATGCCCATATCAACGGATGGGTTTAGATACATCTTGGAAGCAAGGGACAATCTCAGTGGCTACGTAGAGGCCGTAGCTCTCAAGAGGAAGACAGGGAAAGCAGTGGCCGATTGGGTGGAAGACTTCTACCTAAGACACTCCTTCGTACGCAGGTTTATAGCAGATAATGAAACATAATTCGTTAACCAGGAGGTGTTGAACAGACTTAAGATATTGTGCATACCAATCAAGATTACAGAGCCCTACCATCCTGAGGCAAATGCACCACTAGAAAGGGGGCACCGGATCTTGAAAAACACAATCACTAAGCTCGCAACAGATGACTTGGGAAATTGGCCGCGGTACCTTAGGCAGGCAGTTTTTTCTGAGAACGAGACGCTAAAGAGAACGACGGATGCATTCCAGCGGAACTATGGTATGGAAGGGAGATCGATTTACCAGTAGAGGCCCTGATTCCCACCTGGAACAGACTAGATGACGACCCGCACTTTACCACTGAAGAGTTAATCACCACACGTTGCCAGCAGATTGCCAGGAATGAGGAGACACTGGAGGAAGTAGTTAACCGTGCAACGGATAGTCGAATGGGGGACAAAGCAAGGTGGGACCAGGTCAAGAACATTCGGAAGGAGCCGCTCCAGGTGGGGAAAAAGGTGCTAGTCAGGAATTCGGCCCTTGAAAGCACATGGTCTGGGCAGCTGGGAAGGAGATTCAAAGGGCCTTACAGGATCACCAAGCGGATGGGACTGAACACGTTTGAACTTGAAGACCTTGATGACACTGGCATAAGGGGGCCATTCCCGGGACAAATGCTGGTCAGGTTCTTGAGCAGGGATCCCGTGGAACAACGGTTACAAGAGTCTCAGGACGAGGAAACAGGGGATGTGGCAGCTTGAAAGGCAAACAACCGATTATGGGTGTGGACCGTCTTCCTGTGGAAGTGTTCATGACCATAGGGGTTGCTCGTTTGGGTGCCTTATTTCCGGGGGAACGTAGGGTGACTACCTGGGCTGAGCGTGAATAAGGATGGGAACCTGACGTAACGCACCATAGTTTTTGTGGGGCAACTCTGGGGACCGTCTACATGGGGTGCCTATGTGCGGGGGCAAAGTGTCAAAGGGTCAAAGGGATGATGGGATCACCAACTGCATGGGGGCAAGCAATGGTTCTAGGAAGGCTTGCAAATCGGCAAATGGGAATGAGAAGGGTGTGTGTGCGTATGAGGGGCTGGGGTGACCATTGTGCATGAACAGGATCAGGCAAGAAGAAGACATCAAGAAAAAGACAAAAAAATGGAGTTTGGAAATGAAAACGATAGCAACGCTATCGACAGGCCTACTGGGGGACTGCCATCAAGGCAGGCTGGGGAATCGAGCTCCATGAAAAGGAAATTGTATGTGGGATTTGATCACAATCTGGTTGTGAACAGAGGGGGCAAAAAGCAAGGGACCGGGGGACCGTCGCCACTGAGAGAAGGGGAGCCAATAGTCCTCCCCTCTAAAAGTGACACCAGCAGTGAGGAAGAGAGGAACCCGGGGAAAAGGCAAAGGTTGGAGGACGAGGAGCCTATTGAGGTCATAGACCTCAGCAACGGGGAAGAAGAGGATGAGGTGACAACACCCACCAGGGAAGAACGGGGAAGGGAGGAGGATTCAGGGAAAGAAAAGGACAAATGGATAGCAGAGTTCGGGCCAACCTTCAACGATTGGTTTGATCAATGGGGCGCTATCTTACAATACCAATGGGCGATGAAAGGCAGGGAAAAGCTGAGTAGGGGAGAGGACTTATCCCCAATGACCTTCTTCTCGAAAGGGACGCTCCTTCAGTTACAGGGAATAAAGAGACAGATGCAGCAGTAAATGGAGGATCGAGCAAGAAGGGAGGCTCGGCGCGGGGCAGCGGGACAGTAAAGGGGACAGTAGGCATAATGGGGCCTAGCTAGAAATTGGGAAGGGTTGGTACCTGGGCAGGTAGAAATGCCATTTTTGAGTTGCGCATTTGAATTTCTTTCTGAATGGACTGTAATGGAACAACTGCCAAAGCTCGAAACGGCTAAAGGACTGGGTAATGAGTGCTACTTTGTACAAGTGGTTGCTTCTTCAGGAAAGCGCACGAGAGTCACGACACTTAGAATAGATTTTGGGATGGCTGGGTCCTGCCTAAGGGAAAGGCAAGGGGAAAACAGAGGGATCCAGTTGAGACGAGTCTGTAATGTTGCCTTTGCATTCGAACTTTGTCTCTTCATTTTTTTGGAAGGACTGCGATGTAACTACTTTGGACTGGGGAACGCTAGTAAAGAATAGAAACCAGCGCTACTTTGTACGACGACTCACTCCTTTTTGAAATATGAGCCTTCTTCGGTAGTAAGAAAGGGACTGGGAATGATTGACTATGAAGGCGGGTAAGGGCATGTGAACTATTCGGGATTGGAAAAAAAATGGATGGCAAAAACTTGCTTTTTTTGAATTGTGTACCCATGATTGAATGAGTCGTTGCACGAGTCCTTGTGAGAGGTTAGGGGACCTATGGGTAACGAGACATCCTCTTCCCTAGGAGCCTAATCCAACCTATCCCAGACAAGTCCAGAGCTTTGGAAGGATATGAGAAGTAAGGAGAGTGAGAGGGAAACGTTGAAATAAGTTAGCATTCTTTGTAATGGTTGAACGGCCGGGTGAGTTAGTGTTGCTTGGGGTCGCCAACCTCAACTCGAGCATTAAACGCTAAGTCTGGTGTATGGATGGATGTAAGAATGGCAAATGATAAAAGAAAGAGGAAAAACCATGCGTCAAAACTTGAAGAGATGGCCACTTTCTAACCCCCGAGATGAGAATAGGATCCGTGTTCTCGAGGCCCACCCCCTCGGGCGCTAACATTGCAATGGATAAGGACGACCCTAACCGGGCTATCCAACTGAAAGGGACAAGGATGAACCTTACCAGGCCGTCCATTGCAATGGATAAGGATGGCCCTGACCGGGCTGTCCGACTTGGAATTCGAAAGGACGACCCTAACCAGGTTGTCCGGGATGGCCCCTGACAAGGGTCATTCTTTGGAATTGGCACTGGGGTCCCCTTCCATGACTGCCGAAGATGCAAGAGTTTGAAAAGAGCCGAGCCCTGGAAAAAGACATTGGAAAGAGCTGAGCTTGGAAAAGATATTGGTCTCAGCCTTGGAATTTGACTCAGCCGTGGAAGAGACATTGCATTGAGCATTGGAATTGGATTGAGTATTGGAAGTCGCATTGCATAAACAGGGGACCCTAGGCAACTTGGAAGAAAGGTCGTCGGACCGACCATGGAATTCGTATGAAAATGAAATTTCTCCTTTCTTCTAGTCTTTGGCCTCAGCAAGAGGGGGATACCGGTGCATGCACCGCGACCCCAAGACCTCTATCCCTTGAGGGAAAAAGTCTCAGCGCGACTTGTTCCTCTTCAAGGGGATGCGGGTTAAAGGACCAAGGCACCTACCACTTGGATCGGTGACGGCTGTCCGGAACCACCCCTGAAAATGAGCTCTAGTCGGGGAATTCAAACTGCGCCTCCTGATGAACGCCTAAACGTCAAAGGGCGAGAGAGCCAAATGGGGGAGAGAGTCATTCTCATCTAAGTCTATTTTGCTACTCTCCAACCACACGCCATGTCATAGAGGGGTGGCATGACCGTTTGGATCGGACCACGACTGCCCGCGCTAAGTTGGGCGGCACTGTCCAAGGGGAGAGGCTGGGCGAGGTACCGGGTGGAGTCTGCCACCACCACGGGGCATTGGCACTGCCCTGCTGAAACATTACAACCGTTTCGGGACTAAATGTGAGGTCTTCGTAACTGCACTCGCGGACTGATTGAGAGCCCCAACTCTCTTGAAAGGAAGAGGCCGGAATCCAGAAAATCACCACTCGGGAGGAACGATTCGCGAGGAACACTCTTACAGCTAGACGAGGCCCTGACAGGCTTGGATTGGACATGCCTGACAGACGCGAGGAGGAACCTTGGTATTGTTGCTCGCCACGTAAGAGAAGAAAGGTCGGACCGGGTAGAAGGATGAGGCGTCGTCCGCTGGGGAGGAACTGATCACTCCTCCTTTTGTGAAGCGGATGGGCTTGTGTCCTTGACTTGCGGTAGGAGGGCCAAAGGTCTGCGTACCTTCGAGTGAGAACCAGTCGCGCGATGGGGACATCGCATTTTGAGTGGGGGGAAGGTGTGCCATCTACCAATAAGTACGCATGGAGAAAAACTTGTAATTGGTTTTTGGAAGGACTCGAGAAAAGGGGGCCTGACAAGACGCCAGGAAAGAAAGAAATTTGTGATTGAGTTTGCATGGGCCTGAGAAAAGGGGGCCTGGCAGGACGCCCAGATCAGAAAGGACTTGAGCAAGTGATAAATATGATCTTGAGAAAAAGGCCCGACAAGATGATTGGGGAAGAAAAGATTGGTATGATTGACTTTGCATGGACCTGAGGAAAAGACTGGCAGGATGGGAAATTGATGAGTAATTGGCTTGTATGGACTTGAGAAGGAGGCCTGACAAGGCGTCTAGAAAATAAATGTACAAGGAATGAGCCAAGCTTTGCACATGGAAAGTCAATTAAGCAAA